CTCAGCACCGCCTCTGCCCGGCTGTTAAATCCCCCCAGGGCTGGGGACTCGACCCCTTCCCTGGGCAGCCCCTTCCAGCCCCTGACAGCCCCAAGGGGAAGGAATTGTTCCCCATGGCCAACCTCACCCTGCCCTGGCACAACTTGAGGCCGGTGCCCCTCGTCCCATCGCCCCTTCCCTGGGAGCAGAGCCCGACCCCCCCGGCTCCCCCCTCCTCTCAGGCAGTTGTAGGCAGCGATGAGGGCTCCCCTCAGCCTCCTTCCTTTTTCCTCCCCTGCCTCGGCCCCTGTTTTCTGCCTGGTCTTTGCAATGCAAAGCACCCCCCGGCAAGGCCACGGGGCCCCCAGCGCGGGTGGGGAGCCAGGCTGCCCATGCTGGTGCGTGGGGTGCCCTGGTGAGACCCCGTCTGGGGGAGCAGCATCCAGCCCTGGAGTCCAGCACAGGAAAGACAGGGACCTGTGGAAGCAGCTCCAGAGGCGGCCACAAAGATGATCCGAGGGCTGGAGCACCTCCTGTGAGGGACAGGCTGAGAGGCTGGGGTTGTTCACCCTGGAGAAGGCTCCAGGGAGTCCTTACTGTGGCCTCTCAACACTTAAAGGGGGCCGATGAGGACAGACAGATGAGGCAGGGCCTGGGATAGGGGTAATGGTTTTAAACTAAAAGGGGAGATTCAGACTAAATCCAAGGAAGAAATTTGTTCCGCCAAGGGCAGTGAGGCACTGGCCCAGGTTGCCCAGAGAGGTGGTGGATGCCCCATCCCTGGAGACGTTCCAGGTCAGATTGGATGGGGCTCGGAGCAGCCTGATCCAGCAGAAGATGCCTCTGCTCATGGCAGGGGGTTGGACTGGATGAGCGTCGAAGGTCCCTTCCAACCCAACCCGAACCCTTCTGTGACTCTACATCGCTTCCCACCCGCTCAGCATTTTACCTGGATGTGTCTCCCAGGAGCCCCTTCGCTGGACCCCTTGCCGGGGCTGCGCTCTGCCCCATCCGCGCCGCTCGGAAAGGCTGGGCTGGTGGCAGAGGCACAGGGCCAAGGTGGCTGCCGCCCCGCAGGGGGATTTCTGCCTATGGAGCCAAGCACTGGTGCAGCCCAACCTGCTCCAGCCTTGGGGCCCTTCTGTGCCTAACCAGAGCCAAAATACTGGAAATGGGGGGTTTGGGCCCCAGAAATCACCCCCCAGTGTGATCCTGCCTCTCCGAAGGCAGGAAAGGGTTTCCCTGCAGGCCCCCATGGCAGAGAGGTGGCCAGGCTGGCACCGCCAGGGATGTGGCTGGGGACTCTCGGTGCCCCCGCCATGCCCAAAGTCCACCCAAACGCCCCGCAGCAACAGCAGAGCCCCAGCCCCACCCGGGAAGGTGACGCCAGCCCCAAGTCACCCAGCCAAGGTGCCGCAGCGTCACCAAGACGAGAGGTGACGAGAATGTGATGCTGGGCCAGGGGCCACAGCACGGCAGGGTTTCTTGTTTCCCTGGTGGGCTCCCTGCTGGACCCCAAACAGCCCTGCGAAAGGGACCTGGGAAACCCCTGACAGCAGGGCCTCAGGGGCAGGCAATCCTTGGGATTTGGGGGGGGCGTGGGAGGGGTGTGGAGGAACCCCAGATGTGGGGATAAAATACCAGATGTGGGGAGAGGATGCCAGCACAGCTCAGATGGGTCTTTCTGCTCCAGGGAGGCAATGAGGACATGGGGAGCTGCCACCATGAAGAAGCCCCTCTCTGGTCAGCAAACTCAAGCCAGGGTCACTGTCCTGAGCACCACCATGGACTGGCACGAACAGGAAAGGAGGAAACTGCAGCAAGTGCAGGGCACAGTCCTGTCCCGAGTGCCCCAAAATCCTCTTGCCCTGGATCTTGCAAGAAACAGGGAGGTAAATCCACACCGGGTGCCCCTTTGCCCCCTCGCCAGCTCCTTTCCCAGCTGCCACCCCCACAAACCAGAGCGAGAGCACAACTGGGTCGCACTGGGGTCCAGCAAAACAAAACCCAGCCCCCTCAAAATCCTTCCCGTGGCCCCAAGGAATGCGTCCTCATCAGGAAGCAAATTCTTGGCACTGGGAGCAATAACAGAGGCGAGCTCGACTTGCTCTGGCAGCTTGGGGCAGCGCCCGGCACATATTTCCCCGTCAGTTCCAAGCTTTAAAGCACAAACAAACACCGGCACATACTTGGCACCAGGCTGGAACATTGCGTCCTTGTGCAAACGCCCAGCCCTGGCCCCTGCTGTGGGGTGGTCTTGAGGGGCTGTGAAATGGCCAATTGGGGGTGGAAGGTGCAGCGAGGAGGCTTCAGTTGGCCCCAGGGAGGGTCAGTGGGTTTGGCTGAACAGTGGCCCACCCTGGTGACGCCATCGGCTGGGCTGCTCAACTTTGGAAAGGAAAGGTGTGACGTCAAGGCTGAAAACCTTGTCGTTAAAAGCCTCTGGGACGGCTGCCAGCAGGGACAGAGGGAACTGCAGCGGGGTGGTGGGGGAAGCCATTGCTGTGGGGCAGCCCTGACCCCTGGGGAGGGCACCAGGAGCCTGTCCCAGGGTGTGGATGGGGGGCACGGATTTGTTTTGAAGGCAGGAGGATAAAAACCACCTCCCCCTGTGCTGTGAGCCAAGGTGGCTGCTGGTCCCGCTTGGCCCCCCGCCCCTGTGGCTGCATGGACCCCAGGCCTCCCAGCCCAGCCCAGCCCAGGCACAGCCGCTGCACCCCACAGCCCCATCGCAGGGCTATGGTGCCCATACACCCCACACCCCCATCATGGGGCGATGGTGCCCGTACCCCCCACTCCCACCCAACAGACACCACCTTGCCCCAGGCACACCCCAGAGCGCTATGGATCCCCCATGGCCACACTGCTGGGGGACAGCCCCAGGGAGAATCCGTGTCCCAGCACATAGCCCCCACAGCCCCATAGCTGGGGTTCAGCCCCACACACACCCCATGGGCCCCATCACCAGGGACAGCCCTAAGAACATCCCACAGCCCCACTACCAGGGTTTGGCCCCCTGCACAGCCTGTAGCCCCATTGCTGGGGGACAGCCCCACGCAAACCCAGCAACCCCATTGCTGGGGGTCAGCTCTCCCTACACCCTACAGCTGGGGATGAACCCCACCTGCAGCCCGTGGCTCCACTGCTGGGGTACAGCCTACCCCCACCCCCCCACTCCATAGCCCCCGCACAGCTCACAGAGAAGGGTACCACACTGCTCACATGTCCGGGGGGTGGTGGAGGTGTTGCACAGCATTGGCTGAAACCAGCCCCGAAGGAGGAAGGACGGACACGGACCTTGAGCAATTTTGCTGAGGCCTACTGGGGTCTCACCTCATGCCCTCTCCCACCCGGTGCCCATCCTGGGGGTGCAGGAGCGGGGCAGCCCCCGCTGCTCCACGGAACTCCACGTGGGCTCGGCGAGCCCAAGTCCTCCCTCTGCGCCCCATGCCATCCCGTGGCTGCACTTTGACGGCCTTGCTGGAGCCACACAAGCCCCTCAGACCTGCTGATCATGGGTGCTACACGTGTCTTTCCCCCTGCTGGCTCAGCCCAGCGACTCTGGGGGCATCAAGCCTCCCACCGCTACCAGCCTCATTCTCGTGGCAATATTTTATGAGGAGCAGAGGATGAGAATGCGAACGCCTCTGAGATCCAGGGCGGTTCCCACTGCACCCCTTCCCACCAGACAAGGGCAGTGGGGCAGATGGCATCAGCACCCCCTCCCTGCCTGCCCGGCTCTGGGGGTGGAATGGAAATAACCGCACTCCGCAGCTGCTAGCCTTGTATGGAATCGTTCTTGCTGGTTTCTCATCCTGTGGTGTCACAATCGCTTCCTCCTCCTGCGCAAGCATGCCTGGCATTTCCAGAAAGCCGGAGAAAGCTGTGGTTCAAGAGCCGTCCCCCTCCCTCTGCCCCCCCCTCAGCACAGGGGCAGTCCCCAAGCTGCAACGCCCCTCTGCAGTCTTCACTGTACTTCCTGTTGTGTTTTTTTTTTTTTTAAAAGCAAGCATAGCACTCTAGGAGAGAGGAGATGAACATGTACAAAATTATATAATTTTTATATATATGATTCGTATCTATTTACAACATGGCTGGGACAGCAGAACATCCAAGGAGGTTGCACAGCCACTGCCAGCGTCACCCTGGCCAGGCCAAACAGGGTCTGGAAAAGTGACGGAGACAGCAGCACGGGCCTGTGGTTACAAGGGGGCAGCCCCCAATTCTGCTATGCTCCTTGCCTGCTCCACAAAGAGAAATCTGTCCCCTGTGGCCACGGGGCTGGCAACAGAGCCCCTTGCTCAGAGTGCCCTGACAAGCGGAGCCACGACCGGCTTGCTCCAAACCACCTGAAGGTAGACACAAGCATTCGAGCACACCCTTGGCAAACACCCTCCTGGGAAGCAACACCACGCTCCTCACTCCGGCCAGCAGCAAGAAAGTGTGATGAGTGAAACGGGTTCTCAGGAAAGCCCAAGGCAGCCAGCCAAGAGCAGACGTAAGAGAAGCTGTGCCCTGCCTTGGTTTCTCCTGACCTGATGGGAACCCCTACACAAAACAAAATTCTGCTCGACTTCCTTTTGCCCACTTGCCTTCAAAACCAGGCCTAAAGCGGGCAGGTTCAGCGCTGCCCTGGCACAGGCACACCGAGACCTTCTGCTGCGCAGGACGGGAGGCTGCTTCCTCCCGATCGTGTGAGGAGCGGACAGCACATGCACCGAGCATGCACGTTGTTCTGCAGGCTGCAGTCATCACAACAGCCCTTTGGGTTTTTTGGGCTTGAGTTTCTTTTCAGGCCTGGAACAAAGAAAAGGCAGAAAGAGGGGGGGGGGGGGTGGGGGGAAGAAATCCAAGCTTGGGGTGCCTGATGCTGTCAACACAGGTTTGCCTTTATGCTCCTCTCTTCCTAATCTCCACGCTCTCTCTCTGGTGCTTTTCTCCCTTCCAGGGTGGTTATTCCCAGTCCTGCCTCTCTCCCTCCAGAGATCAGCTCCAACAGCTCACATCTGTCTCACCGGCTGCTGCAGGCCCCCGTTCTGCAAGCGCCAAAGCCTGGGCACCGGGCAGGGCTCTGCCTGCCTGCTTGGCCACACTCTCCTGTCCCCCAAGCACCCGCTGCTGGCAAGATTCAGCTCACCACCCTTTGCTGCCCACCTGGCAGCCAGGAGAGGAGCCACCTCCCACCCCTGCCAAGGCCAGAACTCATTGGCCAGAACTGACCGGGGAGAAAGAAACCGTCCTCAAATCCTCCAGGGCAGCTGCGAGCCTCATGCTGCCCCTCTCCATCCCAGCCACGCTCGGATGCAGCTGTGGTGGGGCTCTACCCCCAAAACAGCAAATGCCTCATCGCAGCTCCAAGCCATGAGGACCATTCCAAACACTGCCCGGCCCCTCTCCTGCAGCCGTGGGACGCATCACCCTCTCCTGTGAGCTCAGCTGCTCTGTGCAGGCAGGGGAGAGATCCCAGGCAGCTCAGCCCAGCAACACACCCACGTCATTTTTTGCAGATCAGCTAATTTCTTCACTTAGAAGCTCTAACACACACACCTAACTAAACTTCCAGATCACGTATCACACCTTTTGCCCAGCCGGTTCTTCCTCTGCAGACACCCAACACCTGAAAAGCATTCACACGCCACACAGCTCCGAGCTCTCCCCTCCTACCCGGTGCCAAGCGAACAGCAAGTGACTCCTCTGAGCACTTTCCTGCTTCTCCCAGGGCTGCTCGACTCTCCCAGCGAGGAGGCAGCGCTTCAGTGGCTCTGCAAGTGAGGATTGTTTCAAACAGCATGAAAATTAAGGCAGCAAACCGACTCACTAAAAGGAACAGTCTAATCAATCTGCCTGCACGTCCCGGGCTACTGACACCTCTCACTCACCTCCTCAGTTTCGGTGTGCGTTTGCTGTAAATACTTAAATAACTATGTGGATTCTGGTGCTCCCGTCCCTATGGTACAGTGAAGTTCAATCCATTTAGCCAAAAGAAAAAAACAAAATAGGAAAAAAACCCAGCCTGTGAGCGCAGGCTACCCTGCCAGCTTGCTGGTTACAAGCGAGGATTTTCTCTGCGGGAGGTCCTGCGGCGTGGGGATGTGGTCTCCTGTCACCAGGTTCTTGTCTGGCCCCGCACTTGGCAACTGCTTGTTCTTCATCTTTGCCTTGGCCATGTTGTAGTCACCAGAATCAAAGTATTTTTGCTGGAAGAAGAGGAGGAGTTTGGGTTACTTTGATTTGCAGGAGCGTGGGGACATAGCGGAGATACAGACACCTGGACACATACGATCCTTTAAGGAGCTGCTGGGGTTGCTCAAAACCGGGTCACCGAAACATCACCCAAGGGGAAAATGCAAGCAGGGGAGCCTGGCCCGATGTAAAAGGCCTTTAGCACGCACCCACAAACCCCAGAGTGACTCAAACGTCCCCCAGCTGGAAGCAGCTTTGTAACACGGCAGCCGCCTGTCTCACTCGAGACACCAGGGTGCGTTTTCTCCCTCTGACCCTGCCCCTGGGTGTCTGTGCCCTTGAACTTTCACTGCTCAGTATGGCGCTTGCTAGGTAAAGACTCTGCCCCTGCACCGCACTCAGCACAACAGGGATTCAATCCCGGCCCAGGGACCCCCTCGAACATCCGAACATAGGCTCAGCCACAGCTCGGCTACAGCGGGATGTTTGTCGATAGTTTATTCTGGTTTGGTGAGCCAGTGTGACAGAGGCAGGATTTGCTCCCCAGGGAGCACAGCCTGGCCAGCGCCAAGGCCTTCGCCAGACCGTCCAGGCTCCCAACAGCCAAAATGCTGCAGGGAAATGCCTGCAAAAACGTGGCCGGAGGACATCTCCCTGCTGCACAGCACCACTGACCTGGGGTTCAAAGTGCATTTCACTCCCTTATTACATACGTCACCACAGGACTGTGCTCCTTCACAGCGCTGCTTCACCCCCCGCAGCAGCATAGGAAGGGCTGAACACCAAAGCAGAGCTTGTGTTGGTGCTAGACAGGGCTTGGCTGGGCACAAGGAGCTCTGAAGAGCCCAGTTCTGCCCCGATGCGCCATCAGGCCCCAATGAGCCCAATCCCGACCAAAAAAGCCCTTCCGCACTTCAGCACCAAGCCATTGAACAATCCTCCTTCCTGTGCTTGCTTTAGGAGCTGGTACCTAAGCCAACAGCCCCAGCGATCAGATCAACAGCGAGAGTGAGCATGCACGGCGGCTGCTCAGGCAGAGGGGGCA